GTCAGTGGGGTGGGTGGGTAAGTAGCTGGGGGGTGGGATGGATGGGTGGTTAGATGGATGGGTGGGTGGGAGAGTCTGAGTGCGACCCCCCCTTATAAATTAAAAATACTTTAAAATATATTTAACACCATTAATAATGCTGGATGCAAAGCTGACAGCTTGTGACCCCCCATGTAATAACTTTGCGACCCCCTGAGGGGTCCCAATCCCCAATTTGAGAACCCCTGTGTTATTGCAAATGCTCTATTGACATGCAATGGGGTGTATGCCTTGACTCTCCCTGACACTGCCTGTAGTGACACATTCCCTGGACTTCTCCGCTTTTGAACTCTGGTGCCTTTTGTGAGCCAGGGAGCACCGTGCTGCGGCCATCCCTGAGAGGGGGGCTGTCACTTGGGCAGAAGCAGACCATGTCACCTGCGACTCTCTCTGCTCCCTGCCCTGATCAAATGCACTGCAACATGGCTAGGCGCTCGCCCTTCCAGCAGGGGGTTGGCTCGGATAGGCCCTGAGCTGCTTCGGGACCTGCACAAGCGCAGACAGGGCCTGGGGTGAGAACAGGCAACGGGAACACAAGGGTGTATGTTCCCCTGGCTGCCTCAGTTCCCACATATATTAAGGACTGGGAGCCGACAAAATGGAAGCCCTGTTTCCATAGGAAGGCAACATGAGGATGTGAAAACAACATGAAGTCAGCACACCAGGGATAGACCCTGGGGGCCATCCAGACTCTGGAGATCAGCAATGGATTTGGGGGGATATAAGGAGAAGGCAGAAGGGCCCTCGTTACACTGCACCGGGAAGCAAAAAGGACAGAGCTCTTTACATTCACGAAGGAGGGATCCTGGCCAGGTTGGCTGGAGACGCTGGGAGATTGTCTTGGAGAGAAAAAGTACTTCAAACTAGGGTTTGGCCAGGTACAGTTCAGCGGAGACTCTACGAAATGGGTTAATACCTTTTGGTTTCTATGGAACCATTTCTGACTCTATGATTAACTTGCCGGCAAGTTAAAGAAGTATGGTCTGGATGAATGGACTATAAGGTGGATAGAAAGCTGAATAGATCATCAGGCTCAACGGGTAGTGATCAATGGCTCCATGTCTAGTTGGCAGCCAGTATCAAGCGGAGTGCCCCAAGGATCGTCCTAGAGCTGGTTTTGTTCAGTATCTTCATTAATGATCTGGAGGATGCCGTGGATTGCACCCTCAGCAAGTTTGCAGATGACACTAAACTGGGAGGAGTGGTAGACACGCTAGAGGGTAGGGATAGGATACAGAGGGACCTAGACAAATTAGAGGTTTGGGCCAAAAGAAATCTGATGAGGTTCAACAAGGACAAGTGCAGAGTCCTGCACTTAGGACGGAAGAATCCCATGCACTGTTACAGGCTAGGGACCGAGTGGCTAGGCAGCAGTTCTGCAGAAAAGGACCTAGGGGTTACAGTGGTCATGCTAAACCCACGGTTGTGAGTTCAATCCTTGAGGGGGCCACTTAGGGATCTAGGGCAAAATCAGTACTTGGTCCTGCTAGTGAAGGCAGGGGGCTAGACCCAATGACCTTTCAGGGTCCTTTCTAGTTCTATGAGATAGGTATATCTCCATATATTATTATTATTTTGGGCTGTATAAGTAGGGGCATTGCCAGCAGATCGAGGGACGTGATCATTCCCCTCTATTCGACATTGGTGAGGCCTCATCTGGAGTACTGTGTCCAGTTTTGAGCCCCACACTACAAGAAGGATGTGGAAAAATTGGAAAGAGTCCAGCGGAGGGCAACAAAAATGATTAGGGGGCTGGAGCACATGACTTATGAGGAGAAGCTGAGGGAACTGGGATTGTTTAGTCTGCAGAAGAGAAGAATGAGGGGGGATTTGATAGCTGCTTTCAACTACCTGAAAGGGGGTTCCAAAGAGGATGGATCTAGACTATTCTCAGTGGTACCAGATGACAGAACAAGGAGTAATGGTCTCAAGTTGTAGTGGGAGAGGTTTAGGTTGGATATTAGGAAAAACTTTTTCACTAGGAGGGTGGTGAAGCACTGGAATGGGTTACCTAGGGAGGTGGTGGAATCTCCTTCCTTACAGGTTTTTAAGGTCAGGCTTGACGAAGCCCTGGCTGGGATGATTTAGTTGGGGATTGGTCCTGCTTTGAGCAGGGGGTTGGACTAGATGACCCCCTGAGGTCCCTTCCAACCCTGATATTCTATGATTCTATGATCATTACTTACGAGTAAGGCTAAGTTTTTGTCACGGTTATTTTTAGTAAAAGTCACAGACAGTTCATGGGCAATAAACAAAAATTCATGGAGCCTGTGACCTGTTCATGACTTTACTAAAAATAACCGGGGGGCAGGAGGCTGCTGGAGACAGCAGGCCAGTAATTTCTGTGAGTGTCCAGTGGGCACGGGCTGGGCACCACAGGGGACGCTCTGAGGACTCGCGGGTTGGTGCCTATCGCTAACCCGCACCAAGAGGGGGAGGTTTGGGAAGGCCTGTCAGACACGGCTTGTGTGGCCAGAGGCTGCTGGTTTCAAGGAGCTGAGCTACAACAGGCACAGAGAAGCCCACTTCACACTAAGGGCCTCCAAATCCTGGGTGCCCCTGGGGAGAGCCACCCTCAGCACTCCCCACCCGTCCCCAAGCCAGGCAGAGGGGCTGCCCAGGGCTCGCTGGCAGACACTCCAGACCGGGGTCCCAGTGCACTTAACACTAGTGGAGACTCCTCACTCACCTTCCAGTGCAGGTAGACGGCGGGTGAGGAGGGGAGCGCGGTGCTGTTGTCCAGGTACAGCTGGACGTCCATCATCTCCCGCGGGACGTCCTTCGGCCACTCCCTCTGGCCAGTGTCCAGGGGGTCTACGGGCAAGAAAGGGACAAGCGTGGGGTTGGGGGCATGGGCAACAGGAACTCCCCGGGGCAATACCACCCCCAGTGAGCACGTTTAGAAGTTGCTCCCTCTCCCCTCTGACAACCCCAGCCTACGGGCTGTTACCATGTGCTGGCAGCCCAGACACCCAGCTAATGGACACTGCAGGGCCCCCAGCCCAGACATCTGTAATGCACAGTCCCACCTACAACATGGGAGGGTCTATCTCTTGTTCAGGGCCATGTCCAGCCCATGGGGAAGGGGGTCTGTGACTCAGGGCCCCTCCCAGTCGGAGCTGTCCCATCAACATCAGGGCAGAGCACCCTCGGGAAAGGCCAGTGGTAGGGTGACCAGGTGTCTGGTTATCAACCGGAACACCCGGTCGAAATGGGATCCTGAGAGCTCCGGTCAGCACTGCTGACTGGGCCATTGACTGTCCGGTTGGCGGTGCTGCGCGGGAGGGTTAAGGTAGGTTCCCTGCTAGCCTCCATGCCGCGTGGCTCTTGGGAAGCAGCTGGTATGTCTGTCCCCGCTTCGGCTCCTATGTGTAGGGGCAGCCAAGGGGCTCCGCACGCTGCCCCCACCCCAAGCGCTGCTTCCGCAGCTCCCATTGGCTGGGAGCCGTGGCCAATGGGAGCTGCAAGGGTGGCACCTGCGGACGGGGCAGCGCGCAGAGCCGCCTGGCCATGCCTCCACGTAGGAGCCGGAGGGGGCATGCTGCTGCTTCCGGGAGCTGCTTGAGGTAAGTGCCACCTGGAGCCTGCACCCCTGACCCCTTCCCGGGCCCCAACCCCCTGCCCCAGCCCTGATCCTCCTCCCACCCTCCGAACCCCTCAATCCCAGCCTAGAGCACCCTCATCCCCAGCCCCACCCCAGAGCCTGCACCCCCAGCTGGAACCTCCACCCCTTCCCGCAGCCCTGCCCCAGCCCTGATCCCCCTCCCACCCTCCGAATCCCTCAGTCCCAGCCCAGAGCACCCTCCTGCATCCCAAACCCCTCATCCCAGCCCCACCACATAGTCCACACTCCCAGCCAAAGACCTCACCACCCCCTGCCCCAACCCCCTGCCCCACCCCTGATCCCCCTCCCACACACTGAACCCCTCGGTCCCAGCCCAGAGCCCCCGCCTGCACTCCAAATCTCTCATCCCTGGCCCCACCCCAGAGCCCACACCCCCAGCTGGAGCCTTCACCCCCCAGCACCCCAACCCCTGAGCCAG